AAGAGCTGATCCAGAGAGTGAGCAACATCAAACCCATTTTAGATGGACTTTTCCAGGAGAAAGTTCTCCTGGATGAGGCCTACGACAGAATAAGATCTCTAGCCACCTCCCAGGATCAGATGAGGGAGATATTCCTCTGCATGAAAACTGGAGATGCCTGCAAAAATATCTTCCTCTCCATTCTTCAAGAGAATGAAAGATTCCTCATATCTGAGCTAAAGGGTTAACGAGTCGATCAGAGCGACCCAGACTAGTTAGTGATGGTTACCTGCATTTGGACTGACCTCTTAAAGCTATTCTGGAGGATTTTTTTCACAGCTCGCAGTGCAAAGCATTCTGGGATATATCTACCTCTACTGAGGCCTTTCTTTTCTTCTCATCCATTCTTTCTCTTCCGACCGTCGGCCATTTTCAAAGAACCGCGGTGAGAAAGGTGAGCTTCAATGACTGTCTGAAACCGTAGCTCACCACAGATATACGCCTGACGGTGCACAGGAAAACATAGCTAACGGGACGAGCACGTAGGACGGCCTGATGTAAACATATCACCAGAATGATTGACAGTTAGGAGAACCACTGATTGAGATGATCCACCCGGAAATTAAAGGTTCCGACTTTATACCTTTAAATGAATGCTGTTTTTATAGACTAAGGTATTTTGAGAAAGCTAAAGATTTGGAAGCAAAACTGTACAGATTGTAATTATGTGAGTTTTCTTTAGAGATAAATAAGTCTCCCAGGTTGTCCATAGTACTGCCTGTCAGCCATGTTGGCCCTTTGAAGGGCCTTTGATCTGAAGAAGAAAAGTATGAAACCACCACATTATGAAACTGTCACCACAGATGTGCCTTTATTTGTTGTGACATGAATAAAAAATCTCTTGTAGAAAACGGTAACTTGGGAATCCCTGATTCTGCTCAGACTGAAATATGAAATAATGTTGGCTCCTCCTGGAGGAGACAGCCTGCAGGTTCCTTACAGGGAGAATCGATGAACAGAGGATTCTGTCTCTCATGGCTCAGACTCATCATCACCATCCTGACTATGGGACGTGATTGGTGGCCCTTAGCTCCGCTGCAACAAGCTAGCAGGAGAAATGCTGAACAGCTTCACGTTTCTATCAGCAGCATCCAAGGAGTTCAGGAGAGAGGATCGAGTCGAGACTTGAGGGAGCAACAAGTTGTACAGCTTCCGTCTGTTAAGGTGACCTGTGATGATGATGATGATGATGATGATGATGATGATGGTGATGATGATGAAGGAAAGAGAGAGGAGCTAGTGGAGGTTCCACAGACAGATGGTTGCAGAGCCAGGTAGATGACAACAGAAGAGAAGGAGAAAGAGTCACTGGATGGATGGATGGATGGATGGATGGATGGATGGATGGATGGATGATGGATGGATGGATGGATGATGGATGGATGGATGGATGATGGATGGATGGATGGATGATAAATGGATGGATGG